ATAAACCAAAAAATGTTAATAGTATATAAATTAATTTTTTTTTTTTTTTTATTTTTTAAATTTTTTTTTTTTTATTTTTTTTTTTTTTTTTTTTTTTTTTTTTTTTTTTTTTTTTTTTTTTTCTTGCTTTTTTTTTTTTTTTTTTTCTTAAAATTTTAAGAGCATTCTGGTTCCCACTACCAAATCTATGATCGACTTTTTTAACAAAACCAACAGCTATATCTTATGATCAGAAAATTAAGCAATAATATCTGTGAAATTAAAGATGAACTGAGATGCAAGAGGGTGGATCAAGAAAAGAATCTTTCTGCAAAAGTAATGGATGTAAGTGTTTTATGCCACTCTTTTTATATCAATGTCAGGATATACTAGCATTTAGTTGTAATGACATTTTGAGTTTATATACTTAATATGAAAATGTTTTGTCAAACTGACATCTGACATGTTTTTTTATTTTTTTTTGAATGTATACTAAAGTTATTTACTTTAATTGTTTTATAGGAAGTATATAATGGCATTGTAAAATATCTTTTTCTATAGCATATCTATCCTACTTAAATATATTAAAGGAAACCCTTAAGAATTACCTAAATGAAAACTTTTTCGAATTCATGTTGAGAATAAGTGAAAATGAGTTCACTAACAGGTTCTATGGCAGTTGATATAGTCAGATATGTATTTTTATATGTTTATATATTTGCATTTAACTGTCAATAGTTCTAATTTTTTATTAATTATTTTTAATAATGATATATCAAATTTCTTTTTAATAGCTCTTACAAAAAATGAAGAACTATCATGGTTCAGTGTTGCAAAATGTTCACTCTTCTGTTTGGAAGGTTTTCGGTCATAAAAAGCTACCCCCACTTAAAAGTAACACAGCCCCTAGTGACATAATCAAGTAGAAGCAAAGTTAACAAGTCCATGAATGTTACTGTGCTCTTTTTGAGCAGAACAATGAAGGTCTTCTTTGGGTCAGCATTATTGTGAAAACAGCCTTCAGCATAGCCATCATCTCAGATTTAACCAACTATCATTGTGCGTTTACACTGGCAGTGTGTGATATCTTACTAAATCTCTGGTTCAAAAGTGTTTTGTGTAAGGAGGATCAAATTATGCATCACATTGAAAAATATTTGGTAAGTATTAGTAATCCATCATTTTATAACAAGTATAATATTAATATTTATTATTTAAATAGAGCAATTTTGAACAAGGTGGGCCCAGTTAAATTCTGCAGAATCAATCATGAATAATAAGCTTGTGATGCATTTCTATGATGATAAACAATCAAGACAAACCTTGCCTGAACATCAGTCTTTTTTCAGAGCTTTCTCAGGGATACTTTTACATGAAGAGCAGGATAAGTTATTTGGGACCGATTAATATCAATGTTATGCAAATTGTTGCATTTATTTTTTTTTATTAAAAGTAGTTTTTTTAATATATAATTTTTTATATTTTCTATTTGTATTGCTTTGTATTACAAATATAATAATTGCTTTTAATAAATTTTATTTTGATGGTTTTTTCATTTAAATAAAATTGCTATTGATTAAATTTATAAACAATAATATAAGATATAAAATGATTATTATTATATTAGTTGCTATATTAATTACTATTGAATTATATCGATTATTATTAAATTATATCGATTACTATTGAATAGATATATATTGATTACTATCAAATCGATATATATCGATTGTAATCACAATCGATAGAAATCAGCAGGGGTAATTAGTATCAATATATATCTATTCTGGTTAGTAATCAATACATATCAGTCTATTTTTTTGCTGATGTAATCATTGTACAAAAGCAGATTCAACAATTATTAGACAATTTTTTACAAGAATTCTTTCTAATAATTTTGAAAAAAATAAATCTAATAAGAAAAGAAAAAGTAATATTTAAGGAAAATTAGATTCATATGTTAGTATAATAGAATTAGATCAACTAAAAATTAAAAAAATTTATCAAGCTTGGACTAGAGCTTTTGCTATTTGTGGAATTTCTTGGCATATTATTGAGAATTCTTTTTTTATTGAAGCATTAAAAGAAACAAATTTATCTTATAAACCACCAACACATCAATATTTATCAGGTTATTTATTAGAACAACAATTGGCTCTTAATAATCAAAAAACTAATAATATATTTCAACAATATTCAAATTTAATATTAGATAAATATATTTTATTTTAATTTAGCTTTAGATGGTTGGATAAGTAAAAAAAATTATTCAATTTGAATTTTATAATTATTACTCCTGAGCATAAAGAATATTTATTTAAAATTTGTGATTATTCCGATGAAATACATACAGAAGAATTTTTAGCTAGTAAAATTAATAAAGTTTTAGATTCTGTTAATGTTAAGCATTTTGCAGCTATAGTTAGTGATAATGGAGCTAATATTAAACTTGCTCAAAATTTAATTGCATCACAAAATTCATATATATTTAGTATAAGATGTATAGCACATGCAATTAATTTAGTTGCTCAAGATATTTTAAAATTTGATTGGGCAGATAAATTAATTAAAAAATGCAATATTTTATATAGTTTTTTTAAATCTTCACATAGAGCAGGTATAAAATTTAATTTTTAATATAATATTAAATTTAATATAATTTTAATTATTATAATAATTATTTTTATTAAATTTTATAAATTAAAGAAGCTGAATTAAGATTATTAATAGAAAAAATAAATATAATTGGTGAAGGTCTTAAAAATTATTCAAAAACAAGATGGACAACTGCAAGTGAAACAATTGAAAGTATATTACATTTAGAAATAGTTTTAAAAAAGGTATTAAATTATATTTTATAAATATTATTAATAAAAATATTAATGAATTATTATTATTTTTAGATTATTGAAAATAAAATATTAATTAATGATCAAACTAATAGAATTATTAATTATTATACTTTTTTTATTTATTTAAAAATACTAAACTTTGTATTATTTTCTTTAAAAAAATTAATTTTATTATTAGAAAGCCAAAATGCAACTCTTGAAGATTGTTATTTAAGCTTAGCAAAAACAAATACAACAATTAAAAAATTACTAATACAAAAATATTCTGAATTTCAATAATATTGTTTTAATATTTTAAATAAATGATTTGAAGAATTTGACAATAATTTATATATTTTAGGATATTTTTTAATGCCAAATTTTTGCAATAAGTATAATTTATTTTTATATTTAAAAAATAAATTCTAATTTACTTTATATTTTAGATTTAGATTTAAAATTAAACAATTTTCTAGAATTATTACAATTGTTGGTTCTATTTAGCAAAAATTAGGAAAAAATCATACAAGTTGTAATATTTTAATTGCTCATCTTCAACTTTATAAAGAAAAAGATATCCATATAATACATCATATGTTTAAGGTTATGATCTTCCTATAACCTGGTAAAATACAATTAAACCAATACCAAATTATCTTCAAGAATTGGCATTAAAAGTTTTAGCAATTGTTCCAAATAATATATTGTGTAAAATAAATTTCTTTTTACTTACTTGACTAACTGGAAATAGATGAATACAGTTAGATATTCAAAAATTAGAAACAATTGCAAAATTATATACATATTATAATTCAAATGCAAAAAAATAACTTTTTTATTTTGCAAATGAAATAACTAAAAATGAAGTCTTAAAAATATTAAATCAAACAAATATTGAAACCTTTGAAAAAATATTAGAAGAAGAAGGCTTAGATAAAAATGAATTATTATTATCTAATAATTTAGATTATAATAAAATTAATATAAAAACTAAAAAAGATTTAGTTTTATTTTTAGAAACAAGTTTAGATTTAAATGATGAAATTTTTATTAATGATTTAGAAAAATTTTCTGATAATGATAATAATAATGATGATAAAAATTTATTATTAAATAAAATTTTAGAAAATATATATTTTTTTTTTATTTATATAATGTTCAAGTAGAAACTTTTTACATATAGAATTATAAGTTCTAAAATTAAAGATTTCTAAACTACATTTATGCTACAAATTGGTACCCAATGTAACATTACACCTCCTATTTCCTGTAAATGCTATAGCTAACTATTTCAAATTAGGTTTTAGCTAGGATAGGTTGGAGGAGACCTTTAAGTAATTGTCTGAACATTATTAAATACAAGAAGTTAGTAAAAAGCCTTGTGTGAGCCATTTAATGATAAAGGAGTTAAAATTTATAGTTTGAGGAAAGATTGTTGTATTGTTTGAAAGATTTGGTAATGTTGATAAGTAAATTTTAGTGCATTTGGATTTTGATGTAATGTTTTAGGATATTTTCTATTGATGTTGATATATGTTGTAAATAGACCAAAGATCTTGATAAAACCAGTTTAATAGATTATTTGAAAACTGAAGTAGAAAGAAATTAGTTTGTTTGTTAATAAGTGTTTCGATATTTTCATAAATAGTAGATAAGAAGGTTCCTGTAATAATATATAAGATATGTTTGAATTAAGGATTTAGTGTGTTAAGTGTAAAATTTAGAAGAATATTTAATAAGGTTGTTGAGGTTATATTGGTAATCTTTAGTAATATTAGAGTATCTTGTATTGTATTTTTGATTGATTGTAGAATGTTTGTGGTATTGTTAGGGCATAAAAATAAATGAAGAGTATCTTCAGTATTTGTACAGTGAGAGCAGTTTGGAGTAGTATAAAGATATAGGTAACAGATATTAAGGTTTTGCATAGTAGGTAGGTTAGTATTGAAAATTTTGATATAAAAGAAGTATTTTTGTAGGTTATTTTTGAGAAAAGAGATGATTTTAAATTTTAATGACCATTTAATGTTTGTGATATTTTGAAAGAATTTTAAGTTTGACCATTTGAC